TTTTTTCGTAAAACACACGGTAGAGAAGGTGGTACGTAGCTAATATTCATATCTCAGTTTGTTGACTACCTGAACTCTACCTTATTGATGAGTGTTCGACTCCCTACCTTTTAATCAATCCCCTCCTACATCTTTTTCTTTTTTAAAAAAAAGGTTTTAAAAAAAAACAAGAAGTAGAGGAGGTTCGCATTTATATAATATCAACAATTGAGATATAATTGATTAATTAAGAAAATCTTTTTCCTTTAAAATTCTTATTGCAAGCAAAACAAGTATACAACATAGCTCACTGCGTGATATCTGGACTACTAGACAAAAAAAGGAAGAAAAAGATAAAAGAAAAGACTATGTCAACAATCACTAAAAGGTCAACAATTATATTATTTAGGGATGTACAAAACCGAATCGAAAACTGAATCAAACAGCAAATTAAGTCAAATCGAGAAAAAAAATCCAACTAGTGGTTGGTTTCATTTGGTTTGGTATTGAATAAAAAAACCCGACTATATTTGGGTTGGTTTGGTTTTAACTAAAAAACCAACCCGAGACCAAATCAACCCGACATTATATATATAATTTAAAATTTTATTTTATACATAAAAATATTTACTTTGATATAATTATTAAATATTTCTTATGCTTTTTCATAAGTTTTATCTTTTAATATATTATTTCAAGTTTGAAACTTAGAATTTTGAATGGTTCAATAAAAAATTATAGTCCACAGATGTTGGTAATTATAATAAAGTTTAAATCAAAATCAAATTAATACTAATGCAAAAAGAAAATCAATTCAACACTAAGAATGACAATAATATTGAATATTTGTTCTTTGGCTTTACATTGGTTTAGACAATTCAAATACATAATCTAATTTTAATTTCCTTTAATATTTAGTCATGTAACTAATACTTATTAAACTTATTTTAGAATGATTTAGTACTTTTAAATTATGATCATTTTCATTATGACTTGTTAATTTGCAATATTTGTTTTACGCGATTTCATTATTATTATTTTTTTATTGGATATTTAGTATCATTAATCATATCATATTTTCTGTTAGTTTCTTAAGAAACACCTTATATAGTTGTATTTTGGTAGGACTAAAGAAATATTTGAAGTACAAGTAAATTATATGTTTGTATGAATACTTTACCGGAAAAACCCGAAAATCCAAAAAACCCGAAAAAATTCGAAAAAACCCGAGGTTGAAAAACCCGAGTTTTATTGGTTTGGTTTGGTTTATGGATTTAAAAATTCGACACAAATGGTTTGGTTTGATATTTGAAAAACCCGAACCAACCCGGTCATGTACGCCCCTAATATTATTACTACGTAGAGTTAGAGCATTTGTCGAGTTGTGCCAGTAATTTTGCGCAAAGGTTATGCTCTATTTCGTTACAATTTTATTCCACGTCCCCACGAAGGGACTGATGACAATGGGTATATTAATGGGGCAGCTTAATTGTGAATCGAAGGACATTATTGATTATTCCAAAAATCTGGGTCTACTTTGCGTAGGAATCTTTGCTTCTCTTGGAATTTCTTCTGCAACGTTTTTGTCAGATACACTAATTGTTATGAAAAATTAGACCAAGTCTTGCTCATGCATGTGCTATAATATTGTGGAAGTCATCTTCATTTGATTGTTGATAATTTGCCCAATGAATTGATGGGAAACTAATATCTCTTCTCATCTCTTTCTCCACAACTTTCACTATTGCATCAATTTACAAAATCTTTACTCAAGAAAAGCACCGAATTAACTAAGTATTAGCAACTACCACATACAGAAAAGAATTAACTACAAAATATATTTGTCGCTTAGATAACTCTAAATAAATTGTATTTTTTTTATAATCAGTCGCCAATCCGTAGCTAAATAAAATTAGTATGAAATTTATGTTGTTTAGTTACTGAATTTTATTAATCGCTTAGTTATTTCTTGTTTTCTTGTAGTGTACATGCTGGTAGTGGTAGAACAAAAAATACACTAGATATCTACATATATGCATTAAAATTGAAAAATATGAAATAATACATAGAAGTTTTGTGATGAAAAAAATCACTTAAAACTATTCAAAATCACTTATTCAAACGAAACTCATTTTCAAAACTATATATGAATTGATGTTGGATATTTAACGAACTAATTAGACTATTCTTATTAAAAGAAGGTTCCACACCCTGATAGATATATATTGGAATTAGACGTTCTTTAACTCTACCGATCGAGTTTGGTAAATTCAAGGATTTTCTGCTCTTGTTCTATCTTGTTTTACACCTTCCACTTCACAAATACTTTAAGAATTAAGGTGTTTGGGCGGTGAATCTGCTTTTAATTTAATAGAGCAGAAAGAGTTTTTATGTTATTCGGAAAAAAATAAAAATTTCAGTTTCTTAAACTAAGTAGAAGCAAAAGTATAAAATTATTTTGTCAATATAAAAGTACCCTTGCCATTTATACATATTTATCAATATATTCATGACTAATTAATTACTATTCCCTATGTCCCATTTTATGTAAGATGACTTAGCATGGAGTTTAAGAAAGATAGGAAGACTTTTAAAACTTGTGGTCCAAAATGAATGACAAAAAATTGTGTTGTTGTAAATTATTTCATTAAGGGTAAAATAACCATTTTATAGTTAAATTATTACTTAATATAGAAATATGTCATTCTTTTTTGAAACTGACTAAATAAGAAAGTAAGTCACATAAATTGGTACAGAGGGGTAACATATATCATATTTTTGGTTTAGTTTTTTACACAAACAATTCTTATTTAATTTTACATTTTATATATTATTAGTTTATGTTTAATATGTGGAATAAATTTTTAAATTTATTTGGCTTAACTTTTTAATATATTCAAATCATCATGTTAATATTATATCAACATTTCATATTTTCTTTGATTTATCTACGTATAATATTGATTAAAAATTTGCAATATGTACTTTTAATAAATAAACATTAAAATTAAATTATTTTTTAATAATAGATATTAAAATATTTTTCTCTATAAAATAATGTTATTATTGTTTAAAAAGCATTGATAAATGTTCTTTTTCGTAATTTGACTCTCAAAAACATTTAATTTTTTTAACATCGAATGCAAAACACTTTTCAAATAAACATTTATAAATTATTATTATTTTTAAAAATCACTTTTGTGAAAAATTATTTGATAAAAATGGTTATAACACTACATCAAAAATGATCATAGGCGGCAATTAATTCTTAATTACCGCTAGATATGTATTTTTATCGGCAATTAATATTCTTTTTATATGTCCCTAAAACCTTTAGCGACATTAGTTCTAATGGCACTTAACTAATGCTAGTAAAGACTTTAACACTCTTTATTAATGTCAATATTTATTGTGCTAAAAGTTATTTTTGTTATAGTGTAAAACTAAACCGGTTTTAGTCGTTTGGCCAAAAGAGGCTAGAATTCACCTTTGATTAATTTGATTGGCCAGAATATATTTGTTCGTCACATTTTGGTACTAATAATATAATTGGTTGATTAATTTGACTAGACATGCGATACCACTTGAACATGTCATGATTTCATTTGCTTGTCTATTTGATTTTAACACACCATGTTACTTGTCACGTGCTATGAGCTTGACCTTTTTGATGAAGTAACACCCTATTGGACCATGGGCTTGTGGGCTCATTTTATGAACCCGGACTACACTAGCTAGCCTAAATGTACATATTAGCAAATGACAAGAAATATATGCGTCAAGTAGAGGTGTCTGTCTATTTGCTCATTATGAAAAAATCCATCGCAATGTCCGTCAATATAGTATAACTAGGAACCCAATTTTGCTGTGGATGGTATAAGTAATTAACAAGCACTATTTGACTGCATCATTAAAAAACTTTTAAAAGAAAAAAACGCTTCTTGTATTGATTAATTTATTCAGGAAACACGAATTACTAGAAATATTTTTTATGTTGTAACAGGAATGTCATGTTGAAACTAATAATTTCAAACTATGTTAACGATAAATAAAAGGGAAAAGACATAAATTTCTCTCTAAATTTGTGCCGAAAAGTCAGTTACACGTTCGAACAATTGTGACAACCTATTACACACCTAATCTTGTTCAAAGTGATATTAATATCCCCTTCCGAAGACAATCTCAGTTTTGTGTAAAAAAAGTGTTGTACACGCGTTTTCACGCATAAATAATATTATTTAAAAATTTTAAAACCTTTTTCCTTGATATTTTCTTTAACTTTTGCAAAAAATTAAAAACTTGGAAATCTTCCTTCTCTCACCATACATATCTCTTATTAAAATCTATTTCTTCTTTCTTCTCCATTGTTCATAAATTGATGGAAAAGATAAAAACTTGAAGAGAAAATAGGAGTCAATAAGTCGATTATGAAGTATAGAGATATTGGCAACGGTGATAGGCGATGGGCAACACCATTATGACCGATGGAACAAATAAAATTTTTAAGATCTGTAAAATTCTTTAAAAATCTTGATAAGTATGTATGCAATTCATTAGTATTTTTTGTATGTAATTGATTAATCAAATATGTTATTGATGATATGAGACATAAAAATAACATTGTGGTGGTTGTTGGTAGTTCTCCGGTGAGAATAGAGAAGACAAAGATTGAGAAATCATTTCTTCGGTGAACTTTTAAAAATTTAGACAATATAATCATGAATTTTCAATAGAAATCATTATCTTTCTCATGAATTTTTTTAGGTGATCTTCTCCGGCGAGTTCAAACAGAAAAATCATGAACTTTAAGTTGAAAATTATTGACTTTTCGATGAAAGTCATCATCTTCTCCACCCTTTCTATTTTTAAGAGTTCATTTTTATGGGTAGAGTGTTGAATGTGCTTCCATCAAACAATCAATGACGACAAATGCAGTGATTCCTTAAGAAGAAGAAGAAGAAGAACTCAAAATAAAGAAAAATGAAAAAGCTTTAAAGAAATTAGGACCACCAATAAAAAGATTAAAAAAAGAAAAATAAAATAATTAATATATTGAAAATTATAATACATAATTATATGACCAATAAAATAGTGTCATGTGTTGAAATTCGTCATTTTAACATATAATTTTTTCTTCTCACGCACCTTAAGGAAGGTGAAGACACTCTCTTTGTCATGTCACGTTCTAAGGGGGTATTAATATCACTTTGAACAAAATTAGGTGTGTAATACGTCGTCATAATAGTTTGAGCGTGTAACTGACTTTTCGACACAAGTTTAGGAGAAAATTTATGCCTTTTAGCATAACAATTCAAACAGTTGGAAAAGAAGCAATTTTAGCAATGCCACAATGGCCACCATCAACCCCAACATCTCTAGCAATTCTCATATATCCTTCCTCACCCCAACCCCTCCCCCATGAGTTCTTCACTATCCAATATTTTGTACCATCTTCTTCACTTGTCCCATAACCTATCACTGTCACTGCATGATTCAGCTTAGGGCTACAACTTCCTTCATATATCCCACCATTGTAAAAATGAAACTCCTCGTTAGCAGCAACACCAACAGATATCGGTTGATTCGCTACGGCTTGTAGTAAGGCAGATTCACTGGCTGGTACAACTTCGTACCCACTGATTGTCACTGCTGCTGATTGTAATTCCGTGCTGCAAATGCTTTGAGTTTCTTCATAAGGATAGTTACTCTCCGTGGTAATGCCCTCCACATTATTTTGAAGTAAGAAGTTGTAGGCGTTAGTCATTAGTCCACCCTTGCAACCATTGTTTTGTGTAGAGCAATCTATCAGCTGTTGTTCTGAAAGTGAAATTTGTTCGTTGTTTGCAATTTGATATGCTCCTTCTATAGCTGCCACCGCTGAAAATGCCCAACAACAGCCTGGGATGCAGATATTCAAGTCTTAGTCTATTTAAAAATAGAATGACATATTTATAAATTTTTAGTAACTTTTAAGGACCAGCTTTTATAGCTACACAAATGATCTCCTGGTATTTTACAGACCACATAATTCTAGAGGCTTAATTTGTTTGGAAAAATTGGGGGTAGGGGAGTAGACCTACAATTTGGGAATCGAATCGTCATCAACAAGGTGAGAGTTTAGGTAGTCAACCAACTGAGTTACTAAGATTCTCTATAAAATATGTTCTAATATATACTAATCCCAAGTTGGAAAAATATATTTATCATGTCTAGTCAAACTACAATTATATCAAATTAATATTATATTCGTTCATTTTTAATTGTCATAGTTTCTTTTTTTAGAGTCAAACTGTAAAAACTTTGACTAACATTTTAAGATGTATTTTTTCATCATATTGATTTGCAAAAAAATGCACTTTATAGTACTTTTCCTACCGTTTTTGAATATCTAATTGTTTTGTTTAAAATATCGAATTAATGTAATTTAATTTAAACTTGAAAATTAGTCAAATTGACTTTCGAAAAACGCAACATGACAAATAAAAATAGACGGAGGGAGTACTTACTACATACACCTTGATCTTTGATTTCTGTGACACTGCCCGAATTTCTCCAGTCCATGCTATATGGAACTTCAGTCACACTACCATATTTAAAGGACGTTGTTGTATCTGTTGATTCTTGCTGGGATAATAATGAAGTGTCGAGTCCCATATATGATGCTGTAAATTCCTCAGTGGTCAGATCAGCATATTTGTTGACGGCTAACTTATAACGTTGAGTTCCGTTCTTGTTGAACGATTCGATGAACTTAACGTTTTTCTTAAATGTTTTGAAGCGATGTTCCTTTTCTATCTCATCTTTGTATGCACGTTCATGACGAGCCATCCATTTTTCATGTCTTTCAAGCATGGATAATTTGGATAATTCTTTTAAGTCGCGGGAAGTTACTATAAAGGGAGATAGGCTAAGAATGAAAAAAAGAACAAGAATAATAATATTCTTGAGGCAAAAATTGAAAGCCATTGATAGTAAATGGTAATAAAATATTGAAACAGGAACTAGTTAAAACCTAAAAATTAAAATAAAGGCTGATTTAATAACATAACTACATATTGATCTTAATAGAGTTTATATAAGCGCAATATTGAGAATTTTCATGTACACACATTTCCAATTGAAACTAAAATGTCTATATATCATTTCGTTTTCCAGGAATCGACCTATTATAACTTTTTAGGAGACTAGCTAGGACGACTTCAAGGCAAGTTAAAACAATACAAAAACTGAATAATCTTTCTTTCCTTTTTTTTTGTGGTTGTGAAGTAAAACTTACGGTTGAGAAGGTACGTATTTATATATATAATAATACTTCATCTATAATTGATTAATAAGAAAAGCTTTTTTCATTAAAATTCTTATTACATGCAATGGAACATAGTTCACTGTGTGAATCGTGATGTCTCGATAGCTAATTAAACAAAAAGGAAAAAAATAAAATAAAAGAATACTGTCGATAATTTATAAAAGGTCAAAAATATATTACTTAGACCACTTGTCGGGTGATTTTGTGCAAGGTCTATGTTAATCTGTTTGGTTACAATATAATTTCATCATACGTACGTCCCCAAAAGAACTGTAGACTATGGTTATATATTAATGATTCGAAAAATCTGGGTCTACATTTTTTTGTCAGATTATTGATATGATAAAGTAGACCAAGTCTTGCTCATGGATGTGCTATAAAGTTGAAACTATCTTTGTTTGATTGTTGATTAATTTGCCCAAGGAATTGATGGGAAAATAATATCTTCTCGTCTTTTTCTCAACAACTTTAACTATTGCATCAATTTACAAAGTCTCTACTCAAGAAAAGCACTAAATTAATTAAGAATTAGCAACTACATGCTGGTAGTGGTAGAACGAAAATTACACTAGATACCTGGACATGCATTTAACTTTACAAAAGAATCAGTAGAAATTTTGTGAATAAAAAATAATTCACTTCAAAGAATCTAGTCAAAACTCAAAATCACCTAGTTTTCAAATAAGAATCTCATTTTTAAGGCTATAAAGTGGAAAACAGATTCTCACTAAAATATTAAAAAGCTCCCTAACCTATGAATACACTCTCATTTTTTTCTAACCGATTCAATTAAAATATCTAAAAAATAATCATCAAATATTAGATTGATTAGCGATTTTTTTAAAGTTTGGTAGTTATCATGTAGCCGAAGTCTTTAGATTTATTAGATTGGCCAGAATATATATTGTTTGCACATTTGGTACGAGTAATTTAGTGGCCGATTGATTTTTGACGTATCACTGGGGAGTCCACATTGGATCTCCGATTAAATTCGAATCGCGCACTATAGGGTCCATTTGAGGGTGACGCTCCCAAAGAGGATTTTGTCTATATCTAGGACTCGAATATGAAAACTCTAATTAAAGCTGAAACAGTCCCACCATGTTACTTGTCACGTGCTAGCTTGAACCTTTCGATGAAGTAACACCCTATTAGACCATGGGCTTGTGGGCTTACTTTGTGAACCCGGATTGATAGCTTAGCCCACATTATATTTGATTTTAAATTCAAATACTTTACTACACTAAAATAATTAATCTTAATTCCGTCCAATGTTTCCTAAATTAAGGAAATTAGCACAATTTTATTGGACTTACATTTTTGCAATTTTCAGATGCCTATGCTTCTAACCATTTTTTTCCTCTCAATATGTTTAAAAATTGAATTAAAGAAACCTAAACTTTGATCTGCACGGAGTCTATCTCTGCTAACTCATTCCATTTAAATTGTATCTCCAAATAAATATCTGTTATTTCTTCTCTTTTTTCCGTGCTTCTTTCTCTAATGGAATGAATTGATTTTGTCAAGTAGTATATCGATCCAAAAAACACATGATACTAAATCATAGTAACATAACACTGAGAAATAACAAACCAAACTTCAATTCGGAGACGACAAAGCACAACATAGATGGATTACACACAACGTAAAAGGAAATTCCCTTCAAGGACATACATAGAAGAGAAATCAACTCCACATATAAAAACAAATTAAACCAAATTGAAATAAGAACTTATTTGAATGAACTCTCTCAAATTTCATACTCCTCACGATCCATGAGAACCCAAGTTTTATCTTTCTTTTGAACCATTCCTTTGTTCTTCTCAACCCACCAGTTAGCAGGCACACCATATTCTCCCTTCAATGCATCCGTTGATTTGTTAACAAGAGCTATATCGCGATCCACTTCTAATTTAAAATCACCAAAAAATTCTCCTATTAATATTCCTACACCTTGAGTACCTGCCACTCCATGTAAATAAGCCTCCAAATTATGCCAAGTTTGTAAGTTTCCTGGAGACTTCAAGTAATCGGATTTGGCAGTGTCAATTACTAGTACTTCGCCAACGTCTATATAGCCAATGGGTGGATATTTTGGAACAATATCTACTATGTTATCAACTCTCAAAATATGGAGATTTTTTAGTTTTGAAAATGCAACCCTGAAATTGAGATCTCCAACGTTTGGACTTGCAAATACACAAGCTGTCACTGGAAATTCCTTTCCATTGCTTGTTTTGTTGAATCCATTGTAAACTATGTCAACTGCATTTAAGGTTGCCACTGCTGCACCTAGGCTATGTCCGGTTACAGTTATGCTGACCTCTTCATTCTTGTATTTCTCAACCAATTTTTTCACTTCTTCAAGGACCTAAAAGGAAGAGTTACCATAATATCAACCACCGATCAATCAAAATATCTATAGAAATAACTACTCCATTAAATATATTTTAGTGGAGAACTTCAACAAAAAAAATAGCGGTGTTTTTATGAATTAATTTGACTATGCTGAAAAGACATTAGTTTGTGGGTAATATCAATTCAAATAGAAGTCATATAGCATTATGAGAAAAGTCAAACATACAACAACTAACTAAAACTATAGTGAAAGACAAAATTAACTAAAACGATATAAAACTACAAACAAATGAAGACAAAATTAATTAACTAAAACTATATAAACTATACAAGCAAGTGAAAAAATATTTGTACCTGGTCTCTTGCACTGGCTTTATTAAATGGTGATTTTGGATCATCAGATGTATATATACTTTTCCATCCTTGATGCACCAAAGGTTTGAATAAAGGCAATATTGAATTACCCCCACCAAAAACTTTAGGTGCTGGCACTAGTAAAAATTGTAAATCATTAACCCATTCTAATGTTCTAATTGTTCCTCTCCATGCAATTACAATATCCCTTCTCCCTAACACAGCCTTCCCCTTATCAGTAGCCACAGCAACATACCCCATAAAATTTGATTCCTTACTCCATGCTTCCCTTGACCATGATTTTACCATAAAGGCCTCGGGAAGCGGAAACGACGATGTAGCGTAAAAATATTTTGTTACGTGATACATTTCTGGATCTAGTCCAACTTTAGCAAAGAGGTTTTCCTTCGAGTATCTGCTACTTCCTGCATATTTTGACGCTCTATCGGAAATGAATGTGTCGTAAGTAGCTTGAGCTAATTCTCCATATTGAATTATGTATTTTCGGAGATTAACATCCAAAGGGTTTAATAACCCTTTCCAATTTTCTTTGCCACTAAGCTCCTCCCATTTTTCAGCTATACTAGCCATATATTATTTTTTTCTCTCTTTCTACTTAATTATTTTCCTCTAGATATGTTTCTAATTTACATATTAGAGACTCCAATTTATAGATAATTTTTTTTTTTGAAGGCATCAATTTTTTTTCTAATGTTTCTCTTGAAATGTGCTGTCATGTGTCAATATTTTATTCATCAATTGGAGTAATCATTGGCTCCGATGTTTTTCTTGGAACGTGCTGTCAATATTTTATTCATACATAAGAAGAACATGATCTGTGTGGGATGAATTAAAAATGATCGATAAGTGCACGTTAGAAAATGCTCATTTATGCCCTAATTAATTAGTATAAATTATTGAATTGGATTAAGACGTGTCTAAATAAGGAGTAATAATATAATCCACCATGAATAAGGAGGATTCACATACGAAGGACTTCTATTAACTTGACTTTGATGCGAAAAAAAGAAAGAAATGAAGGGTGTGTTTGGTATGAAGGAAAATGTTTTCTAATTTTCTCATGTTTGGTAGGGTTAAATGTTTTGGAAAATGTTTTCCAAATCAACTCATTTTCCTCAAATTCAAGGAAAATGACTTCCCTTCAAAACTTGAAAACATTTTTCCAAAAACTCTCTTCCAAACTTTCAAACTATAATTACTTTTTTGTTGAAAAAATCAATTTATTTTGTCCCTACCCTCAAACCAATCCCCCAACCAACCCCCCACCCCAAAAAATAATTTAAAGCTTGTTTTTTTAAAAAAAAATTAACTTCAGATTTTTATTTTTTTACCCCACCTCACCCCTACCCCCATCCTCTCCCAAAAAAATATTAAAAATTATTTTTAAAAGATATTTCTAATTTCAATTTTTTATTTTTTTACCCCCCACCCACTACCCTCGCTCCCCCATCTGCTCCCCTATCAATCCCCCTATCAGCCCCCCAACCCCCTTCAAAAAGAAAAAAATTTAAGTTTGTTTTTAAAAAATATTTCTAC